GGCAGAGCGGCGACCGGTGCTACCCCCCCCGGGGGTCGGGCCGCGCTCCGCTGGGGGACTCTATTACCGGTGACAACCCCGGCCCAGGCATCGAGTTCCGGCTCTCAGCCGTGCCGGCGAGGCACGGCCGCTCTCCCCGGCGACTTACCGGCCACGCACCCCTGAAGGCACCGGGGTATCCTTTGAGGTGGAATGCGTGGAATTCCCTAACACACAGCTTCTCCCGCCCTGTTACTTGTCCTTGCAGGCTCCGTAGTCATGCAGTTGTCCCGTCTAGGAAATTCTCATCACCTTTGAGCTCTCAGCGAAACCAATTCATCCCTAAAAAAAAAAAAAAAAAAAAAAAAATAAAATCAACATCTGCCCGCAAAAAAAAATTACAGGTAATTCCTGTAATTTGCATTATTTCCTTTGAAAAGCTGGTTTTGGTCGTTGTGGATTTGTCCTAAACCGGGTTACGGGAGAGAGAAGAGCTGCTAAAAATTTCACGCCTATAAAAAGGCAAAATAATAATTTCAAACTTCAGCCAGACACCTAGCCGTTCCTATTCTAGTCTGCTCCGCGCAACCATGCTGGGGAAATCTGCAGTAGTTGGGCTCCAGTGCACCCGTCTGCTTTCATGATGCAAATGGAGCAGCATAAAGAAGCCGAAATGCGGAGCAGTTCTGCCCCCCTTTTCTAACGCAAACACCCGCCTCCCATCCTGCCCCCAAAACCCAGACTGTAGGATATCAAGACCTGAAAATTCATACGAATTGTGCTGCGCCGATTTCAATTACGCTCTTCCAACAGTCCCAGTGGGTTGTTAAACCATTACAAAATCGCAAAGCTTGGGAGAACTCCGGGGTGCCTTACAGCGCTGCGTAACGGAGCTGTCAGGGCAGACGTCTGAAAGGAAACTCCGCAGGCAACGCCGGCCTTTGCACGAAGCCCTCGTGTGCGATTCTGCGAGGCCGCTGCGAGTCCTGTGGGTTTTACAGGTTCAGCACGAATGCAGACTTCAAGCTCTTCAAAAAAATAGAACTTAATTAAAAATTTAATTAATTTCATGCACCTCGGATGTTCAAAATGACTTTGAAAAATTAGGAAATAGTTGAGAATCGGTATGTGAAATTCAGTAAAGATGCGGTACAAAGTCACATCTAGAAAGGAAAAAAAAAAAAAAAACAACAAAATGAGCAGAAACGGGTTCCAATATCAAACAGTAAGATTTAGGTTAGATCTGAGGGACTTTCTTCCCCCGCAACGTGTCGGTAGAGTTCCTAAGGGAATACCCACTGCTGGGGGCCCTCAGGAGGTCGGTCACCGTGCACCAGGGACGGCTTCGGTGCCTGTGACCCTGCCAGGGCGCAGAGGGGACCGGGATAAGCCGCCCAGGCCCGTGTCCGCTGCCTCCAGCCGTGAACCGCGCTGCAAAGGCGCCCACAGCCCCGCGCGCCTGGGCCGCGTCCCAGCGCCATGACACCCCACGGGGCAGGACACCGGCCTGCGCGGCACCTGCCCTCCCTCACACCCCGCCGCGCACCGGTGCGGTATTTCTCCGTGGCGTTATTTCCCGGTGGCGGTGCCTCCTCGGCACCTCC